GATACTTATTTAAAGCGTACGATCGACAAATTGCGCGCGCATGTGCGAAAAGTGAAAGAGCCAGCGGCTACACTTGCAGAAATTATGAAAACTTTGATTGCAAAATGATATTTTATACACTTGAAATGATATGAGGTATATTGGCGAAATGATTTGGTAAGTCTTCTAAATGTAACTACATTTTTTAGGCTTAGGGTATGTGCTAGTCGGATGAATTATTGTGTAAGTGAAAGCCTTTTATTTACGTAAGAAATTTAGAAAGAAAAAAGATTTTTCTTAACATAAATTAATTAAGAGTTTTTATTATATATAAAGCAGGGTATCTGCTAGTCGAGCACTGTTGATTAGAGAACTTGAAGTGCTTACCATGACACTTAGAACATGATTGCCACGCCCATTTTAGAGTTAGCTGTCAGCAGTAGCTAGAGCAGCTAGCTTTCAGCAGCGCCTTTAGGGTATCTGCTAGTCGAGCACTATTCACATAATCAAGCTTACTTGCTCGCAGTGCATTTGTGAAGTGTTTCGTGATAACACGTAGGCCAACAACGGCAACGGCAACGGCAACAACTAGATGCTGATGCGTGGTTGTACGCCGACTTGGGGGCAATTCGCCAGCTGCAAAGACAGCCCCAACTGCAGCTAAAGTCAGTCTTAACAACAGCTACAGCTACAGCATCAGCATCAGCCGTAGCTTTATGACCAGATAAGCTATGCTAGCCTAAGCAACACCCACTCAGCGACTGATGGCTGACGAGTGCGGGCCAAAACAGAGTTTGCCTGGTTGCACACTCTTTTTTCTTGGTGGCACTGCCAGTTTTATGACCTCCATGGCCAGAGCCACATTTGGAACGCCTCTTAAGTCAGGTGCCTCTAAAAAGAAGTAGTAGAAGCAGCAGAAGAAAAGCTCACATTCGGTATATGCTGTTGAGTTTGTTTTTTTTTTATAGTATTTTGTTTAATAGTTCGCTGTGGCATGTTGGCTTTTTAATGGCCAGCATATAAATCTGTAAAGTGTGCCTGTGTGTGGTGTGTGGTGTGTGTGTCTGGCTTAACCCATTTGAAAACTTTGTTGGCCAAGTCGCCTTTTGTGTAGTCGCCTGGTCAAGTGTCTAGCTTAGGCAGTTTTTGTGTATATTTAAACATAAAGTAGGGTATTCGGATAGGGTATTAGCACTTTTGTAATAGATTTTGTAACTGCTTTTATAAGAAATAATTATTGCAATCTAGAAAAAAGTTTATTTTGTTAAAAACATACAAAAAGGGGCATTTATGTTGGTTAGCTTAGGCTACAAAATTTTTATATTATTTTATTATATGTTGAAATAAATATCTTTATATATATATATTTATATACATGTCTGTAAAGATAATATTAAAATATTTTGCTAAGACAGCTATTTTGTATTTTTTTTTTTTTTAATATTTTTAACTTATTCTCTTGTTTTGAAATATGATTTTTTGTTTCATTTCTTTTTTGCTAATTTAAAAATTTATATTTTCTTAGCCAAGAGCATTTAAACTGCGATCTTATCGCATTTCCCTCTCAATATCTTTATGTTTATTAATAGATATTTTTATGGGCTTCGGGAAAAATTCTGCTGGTCAACTGTTTGTTTGGGTCATAATGAATTGTTGCAACAACAAAGCTTAGAGAGATCCATATAATTCTATTGAGCTTCACACTTGCGTGTGTCGAGAACACCTTGATTTATGTCGAAGACTCTCGGCTATGCAAATGGCAATAAAACAACTGTGTTGAATTCGTTTGGCGGCATCTTAAAAAAGTTTCCATAAAAAAATCTAGAAAAAAAAGCCGTTGATATTGTGAGACTCCATTGTGGACTTAAGGTCTTCTAGCAACAATTAAGTCATTCTCAATTCATTTCCTAGTCATGCACATTGTTGCTTGATTTAGGGCTGATGTTTGAGTACCTCTGAACATCATATACTTGAAATTCCATTGGCGCCGCGACGCCTCAATTAAATCAATTGAGCAGTGCCAAGGCATGGGCAAGAAATATCGGAAATTATGCGGTTCGTGGCTTAACAACAATAATGAGCGCCAATTAAAAGCTGCCAAAGAAAACATGCAGCAATTAAATGTGAACACGCATTAAACAACAAATAAACATTTTCTATTTTTGCACAATATTCAAATGTTAACAAACATGAATGAAAAACAAAAAATGTAAAAAAAATCAAATCAAATCAAACGAAATTCATCAAATTAAAGGCGCTAAAATTAGCACACAAAGCACACGAAAAGCAATTAGGAATGAGCTGCTGGAGAGTGCTTGACGAGTAGATACCCAGGAAGATAGCAATATCACTTTATATATATATAAATATAAAGTTTTTTAGGAGAACATTTTATTGAAATCAGCTATGCAATGTCTATAGGATATGAAAATTAAGTCTTTATCTTCAAATAGTTGCATTTTTTCCCAAATGTACGAAGGTTGCTTACGTTTACTTTCAGAGAACTGGTATACCAACTTTAGTAACTATAGCCGTTATAATATACGAGATAAGCTGAAATAACTGAAATTTGTTATCGATCATTTTATCAATTTCAACAAAATGTATGCAATTTATCGATGATTTTTGAAGAAAAGAAGCTTGGCGTGCAATATAATTCACGTGTAAAATTGAACCGTCCAGCTACTTTAGAGTCGGGGATCAAAGAGCTCTTAGAGAAAGCCAGACAGGTAGAAAGAAAGGCTCACGATAAAAGGCCGTTTAAAACGACTATTAATCCAGCTCGAATCTATATACATATATCATGTGGTCAGTCGTGTCACATTATGCTCAGTTAGAATATTTTCTAGGGTATTTGAAAATAAAAGTTTTGTGAAACTCGCAAAAACTCGCCGACACTCAAGACACTCGCTTATCGCGCACATCTGGCCAAGAGGCGATAGCGTTTAATGGGCCGGGCCTAACGCTTTCTGCATGCCAAGCGAGTGACCCAGAGCTAGCTGCTAAGACACCTACGTTTACATCTACATCTACATCGACATCGACATTAGCGTCTACGTCTCACAACTCCTAATTAGCGCAGCTAATTGAAAAGCTCACGCGTCACTGCAGCAACAACAACAACAGCAGCAATAGGCAAAGCCAGGCTTTGCAGCGTGTCTGTGTGTGAGTGTGTAACAATAAACACTGTGTCAAGACCTTAATTAAGTCAAAGTAAACAAATTTTGAGCTGACTAATCGAGGGCGTTGCATGCAACGACGCTTCCGTCTGAAATGTTGACTCTGCTGATGCGGCGTATGCGTAATATATTTAATGTAACTTTGAATAGCCTGAGAATAGTGAGTAAGAGTTTACTGATTGGCAGCAGGTAACAGCTGACACGAGTCGAGTTTTATCGCGGAATGTTCTTATCAACTTACTTTGTAAAACTCATTAACTCTTTATGAACTGCATCTGGTCGTGCTATCGTTCTAAAGCGCACTTGAAATTATAAATAAATATTCTCATTTGCTCTATGCACAGCCTATTTATTGATTTTTGCAGCACTAAATCGATAAATATCGAACGATGGTTTATTGCTTTTCGCCTCTCTAGCTGTTCTCTGTAAATATGTGAAGCTAGCGACTTGATATATATATATATATATATATATATATATATATATATATATATATATCATATCCAAAACGCAACACATTCTCATAATATCTTATCGCAGTTCACTAAAATCGATAAATCGATTTGATAATGACGTTTTTAAGCATAAGTCAAAGACTATAAAAACGAGAGATAGCAAATTTGGTATGTGGCTCTTTATACAGCAAATAAATATTTTGGCTGACTCATGCATTTGCTCGACTACCACTGTAGGGTATCTTGTAATCAAGCGATTTCAAGTCGCTTTTATTATTGCGTATGCCATTCGCATTGCTGCGCGTTGCATTACGTGCACTGCACATTGTTATTCTTAACCAAAGGCCGAAAAAAAACTCCTTCAGAGAGGTCCAATAAATCTTCAGTTGAACGATATAAAGCAACAGCAACAAGCAACAAGCAACAAAATATTTATTACATAAACCAATTAGAGGGCGCGCGGCATTTGCATGCAAATGCATAATTTATGAATGCATTCATTTTGTTTTGGCCCAAAACAGAAAAATATGTAAGCCAAAGCAAGGCAGAAGATGAAGCCAAAAGCGAAGTGGAAAGAGTGTAAAATGCAGGCGCAAATGAAGCAATTAAATTAAGACACATAAAGAAAACAAACCCAAAATAATATTATGGAATTTACGAATGCAATAAAAGCATATGAAATGCCTATAAGAAAAATTATGCTAATTTTTATGTTTTCCAATGCGGAAAGGCATAAAGAAATTAATATTTTGTTATTTTTATACGAATGGGTTCGTTAAAGTTAACAACCAAAAAACTGTATTTGAATGAGGGCGTGAAATAATTTTAGAAAGGCTAATGGGTTATAGAATTATAATTTATTTTATGATCCATTGAAAAGGAAAGACGTAGAGGGAGTGAGTGATTGGATTGATTAGTATCAATAGTAAAATATTTAGTAAGTTCCATTTAAGTGTAAAGGAGAAGAGAATTAAGATAGTGGAAAAAGAATTGAAATGAAGAGAAAGAAGAAATTGAAAAGAGATGGAGAAAGGAATAGAGAAGCTAAGAAAAGAAGAAAAGAGAATATAGCGAGAAGAAAAAGCGAACAGAGAAGAAAACAAGTAGGAAAGAAAAAAACGAACGAAGGAAGACAAAAGATAAAGCCAAAAATGAGACGGCAAAGAACATTGAATGAAAAGCAGGCTGAAAGGAGAGGAATAGAAGGCAGCCAGAGAACATAGATGAAAAAATACAAGACGAGTGTCAAGAAAAAATATTTGTTGTTTACTCAGATTTTTATTTTCTGTACATATCTTTGAACATTATATTTGCGAACATTTAATTTAAACAGTGATAAGCGATAACATATCTGCCAATTCATAAAAGATCTGAATAGACGGTACCATTTAACCCGGGATCATAAGCGAGAATGTTTTATTTCGTGGGCACCTCTTGTTTCCTATATACACATATATATACATACATAGATGGGCAAAGGGTACAAAATGAAATGAGCTTCGCCGAGTCCATATGACTAGTTTCTGAAATTTAGAGGCTACCGCAGGGACACCAGCAGCCAGGTCCGGAAGGGCCGCCGGGTCCACAAGGACCACAAGGACCACATGGACCACAAGGGCCACATGGGCCACATGGACCACACGGGCCACAAGGACCGCAGGGACCACATGGACCACATGGACCACATGGACCACACGGACCACCCGGTCCACATGGTCCGCAGCGTGTCTCACAAACTGGATACTGATTGGTTGAGAAGCAAGGCAATGGACAACAAGCGCCGCCAGGTGCACAGGGTCCGATCGGACAGGGCGGACAGGCGGCACTTGGCTTATAATTAATCGGTCCATTGGGATAGCAGCAGTACTCTCTTGGCGGCGGTATATCGATAGTCTGTGGCTTCGGCTGGCACAATATCGACTGGCAGACCTCTCTCGGCTCGCATACACGTTTCGGATAGCAGACAACATACGGATCGGGTATCATTGATGGGTAATATATAACTCGCGGTTCGCGCACCATCTGCGATACCCAAATCAGTTTGGGCACCTTTATGACGCGCGTCGCATCAACGACTTTTGGTATAGTTATTTGACGACATCGATTCACGACCATAGGCTCTGGCACTATTTTCTCGGTAAACACGACCCGCTTCTTGCAGATCAAACGTGGCGGCTGTTGTACGGTGATGCATTTTGGAAATGGCGGCGGTATCCGCGGTGCACACTGTGGCAGTGCCTCCAATTGTGCTGCATTGTAACATTTTGGCGAACACTCAAAGGGTCCACAGCACGGATCGCAGGGGCTACATGGTCCACATGGAGAACACATTATCGGATTTTTAGGTATTTACAGCTCTGAACAAAAATTTTGCATTCATTAAAAAAAAAACAGGAAAAATTTTTTTTTTTGTTCAAAAAAAAAATAGGTTTTAATTTGGATGCTGGTCAAATTACGAATGAGTTAAACTAGTGTAGGGGCTGCTTACTGAATGCCAAATAATTCTACACCTACTTCAATCACATGTGTTCCGCTAGAAATTAAATGGAAATATTACTATGAGCATACGAACTGTTATACTCTGTTATCGATAACTGTTTCTTTTATCTCGAGTGTGAGTTCTATTAATTTGTTATAGAATTTCGTTTTGCCATAACAAAATTGAGCATCGATACATATAGTTTATCGATTAAATTTATTGGGAAATAATTTTAGTTTGCTTAATAGCTTTATTCGATAGTATTATGTCTTGCATATAGCATATATAAGTCCTTAGCATTATTTCTGTTAAGTTTTTTGTGTACAATAAATATGCTACGCAAACAGAATATGTATAAATGATATTATCGATAATTATCGCCACATCGTTTAGTACAAGTTTTTGCGTAATTTTTGAAAGCTTGAAGCGTGTATAACTCTAGATTAAATTAAATTAATTTCGTTTTATTCGTCCCCTTCTCTGGCGCTCCATCTCGCTCGCTCACACACTTTTTCTCGCTTCCCTCTCTTTCTGGAGTTAGAGAGGCTCGCTTTCTTTCAACTCTTACTTATTTGGCTTAATGTGCATGTTCATTTGAGACGAATTCGTGTAGCTTAAGCTCAAGACACTTTATGGCAGCCGTTTAATTACTCTTGCGCACTTGTTTTTCATCTCGCTCACTCAATTAATCTGTCTCTCTCTCTCTTGCTCTTTCTTTGCAGGTAAGTTACAGTGACCCACTTGGCCAATTATGTGAAGAGGAAAAGAAGAAAAAAAGGTGAAGCTGCGGCACTTGGCTTTCATCAATGGCCAAGCAAGTGCTGGGGAATTGGGTGTTTGCTTTATTGTTGTTGTTGTTGTTGGCTTGACACTTATATTTGTGTGGCGCCAGCTCGAGAGTTGCCCTGGAGTCACAAATATGCACATAAAACAGCTGGAGAAGAGGAAGATGAAATGATGCCCCATGTGGGGGGAATTCTTTATTGATATGTGACACATTATCGATGAAGCTGGCTTGGCTTGGCTTGGCTTGGTGCTGGCTGCGACTTTCGACTTTCCATGAATTATGGCACAAATTCAAATGCTGCCCACCAGCAAACGATGCACTTAATTAAAACACACTCGCACACACACAATCTAGATAGCAAATGCGGATGAGTTTCTATTTTATGCGCTTTCCCAAAAAAGTAAATTAATGATGCCCTGTACACAATTGACAGCCAGGCTGCTGATAAGATCGCCAAGATGGTGTCGAAGCAAGGCGTCGATAAAAAGAAAAATAAAATGAATATATTACATATATGTGTGTGTATATATATCAAGATATATCAAAATCCGTTCCAAGTGCTCCACAAAATTTGGCACACAAATTGAAATGTGAAATGTCGCTGTGTGTGTGTGTGTGTGTATGTGTGTGGAGGTGCCAACCTGTTCTCTAATTGGGTTAAAATGCAGTTGACGCTGCCTCCAGGCGGAAATCTGTGGCAACTTGTGGCAACTGTGTGGCAGCTGCCAGGCAACAGGCGTCGGCCATATACTTCTTATTATTATTTTTTGCCTTTAACATGATTTATGTGCAAACGCTTATGCGAACTGACCTGGTTACGTTTCGTAGGCCTTGTTAGCTGCACACATTTTCAATTTTGTGGCAGAGCGCGCCACAAGTGTCATCGATTAGCTCCACTTGCATGTCTTGTGCCAGCAGATTGGTCAATTTGCCTTTTGTATCATACAATTTGCTTAACGCTTCTTGTACTTATAGCCAAGTTGAGCATCACAGCTTCGCCTTAGTCACTTTTTAGCAGGCTGCTCTCGGCCTCAGGCTGAATTTGTTCGCTGTTGAAAGTGTCAACTGACTTAACTTAATTTGGTTGCATTTGTTATTTGTCTTTTAGCTAATCTTTGCAAACATCACATGACCTCTTTCGTCGATAGCTTACAGTTTTAAATACTTCACCTGTGCTCTTATGCCTTCGCATTTAATTCATTTAAGTGCTTTACATGTCCTCCTAGGTCACTTTTTTTAGCTTCTTTATTTTTATACATCTGAAAACATCAAACTTCTTCTTATTTCATAAATTTTTGCTTATACTTTTACCTAAGTTTTTTCATATACTTGTCCACCTTTGCCACTATATCTCAGTTTTTCTTTTCATTGTACGCATTGAGAAGTTTCAGAAGTCCTCATTAATAAATTTTTCTTCTTATTTAATACATTTTAGGCTATACATGTTCTTCCAAGTTACTTTTCTTAATTTTTCCAATATTCATTCACTGCGCACCAAGTGTTCTGCATGTTCACATATTTTAAGCTTACAAATAATTGTAATTAGTATTCAAAGCTAGGGATAAGTTCTTTCTATAATTTGTAACTATCTTCAAATAGAGTTCAAGCTCAGATTGCTTAGCTGTATATTAGGCTTCGGCAGTCATCTGAATTTATTTCACTGAGGCACAAGATAAATCAAAAAATTTTCCAAAAACTTTGGCTTCAATTCAAGTCGCAATCAAATGAAAAGCACTTTATTTACGCCACACTTGCTGCACTTTAAGATTGTGTCCTCCAGTGTCACTTTATCGCACATGCTTTTTAAGCTTTATAAGCCTCATTTATTATTATACTTAAAAGCAAAAAAAAAAAAAATAAAAAGAAAAAAGATAATAAATAAATTTTTATAGTTTAAAATTGAATGCAAGTGCGCGTTGATTTATTGAGATTTATTGTAAATGCTTTCAATTTAATTTATAATCGCAAATTGCAAATGTGTGTGTGTGTGTGTGTAGAGTTAAGTACTTGTGCACGTAGACTGTAGCCAGTTGTCAAATGAACCTGTCAAATTTTAACAAACACTCACTTTCTCTTTGGAGCGCAGCTGGCGCTAGTTGCGATGTGCATCCTGTGCCAAACTAAATTACAATTTATTTATATGCAACACCCACACACACACACAGAGACAGATATGGACGTGCAACATGTGGCAGCAGCAGCACTGTGGCACATGTGGCACTGTGCACTGTGCCCTGCAGCCAAACTGATTTGTCTGCAAATCAGTAGGCAATAAGTCAAACGCCGCCGCCAAAGTTCAAAATTATTTTCTATTTTGTGCGCTTCCGTTGAAAGACAGAGAGAGAGAGAGAGACAGAGAAGTAGAGAGACAGGGGGAGTGGGAGCGCGAGCGGGTTAGACCCACAGCAGAGCCGATCGCCCAGTCAGTGCAGACAGTTGCCTGTCTATCATTTGCCTCACATTTTTCGCCTTTCATTTTAGCCGCTGCTGCTGCCGCTGACGCAGTTGCAGTTGCAGACAATTGCATTCGTCGCTGTGGCAAGCTTCCTGTTGCATGGCGTACAGCCAACATGCCTGGCTGCCCTCAAAGGCGCCGCTCTTTCATTTAGCTGCGGATTTGCTAGTTTTCTATTTGGGTTTCATGTCGCGTCTGGCAGTTTTGCTTAAGTTTTTCTTCACTCCCATTCATAAAACACATGGCTCATCCAATTTGTATACCCTGAATGGTTATGGGGTAAGTAAAAAACTTGAGTATATTAATTCTATGCAAAGCAATGTATACTCTATAAAGTACATTTAATGCGTTTGTGTACCATTGATCATTTGTCTGTATAACAAGTTAAATTCACTAACTTTTAATATCGATAAATATCGATCGAAGACTACGATTAGTGTCAAGTTGTAGCTTAGACGACTTTATATGGAACATCTATATAGAAATTAGGCATATGATATAATTTTAAAACTATCGATAATTATCGATTTGATTAAATTGCTTAATATCCTTAATTTAAGTCTTGGGTTTCCCAGTTGACAATTAATGCTATTAGAGTGCTAAAAGTATTTTTTTATTAATATCGATAACAATCGATTTAAGCTTCTATATTTTTCATACTAGAAACAAAACTAAACAAAATTAATGCATAAAACATATTTCTTGTCATTTTCTTTCATTCGGGGTATATCCTAGTCGTGCACTCCTCATACTAGAGCACCCTTGTAATAATTTGTTTGCTGTTTTCTTAAAAATGCCACATTGAACGGTTGCTGCAATTGCAATTGGCGATTTGCTGCCTTATGCAATGGGCAGCGCTTCGATTTGTTGCAGTTCGCTTTCTGGCAATGAGGAAGTCGCCTGCATTTGTTATTGTTGTTGTTGCTCTACGTCAAGTTTTGTGGGTGACTGTGGCAAATTGTTGCCTGATTATAGGGATGTTAACTGTTTATGCCACAGCGCTGGCAGCAATTGTTTTCTTTTTGCTTTTTGCAGCCGATTGTTTACGGCGATTGACTTAAATGTGGCATAAACGATGGTCAACTAAGTGGTCTATGGAATCAGAGTGAGTTTTATAAGGCTCTGTTATGCAGGCAGTACATGAAGTACCTAAAGCAATTCATAAATGTAGATGTTACCGCAAAAATACTTTCGCCTGCTAAAGATGTAATCAGCGCAAACGCTTTTAGGGTTTGTCTGAGCTTGAAATAGATCTTATTTGGAGCTTAAATAAGAAATAAATGTTAAGGTCGAGTTGGTTGCGGACGAAGTCATCCTGTTAGGATGTAGAGAGTACTTAAACAACTTCTTTATTTAGTAGAAAGCTAACAAAGTGTATATATTCATATGGAAAGGGATTTTATACTATCGATATTTATCGATTTGATTTAAAGTGCTGATGCAAGCGTGCATTACATAACATACATAACTCTTTTTGGATGCTTAGAGCCCTTGAATTCAGTGATGCCTTTAAAAATGCAATTTCGAAATCGATATATATCGATAATAGAGCTATAGTTGCCTTAAAATTATAAAGCTTTGTAAAACGGAGAGTTTAATCTATATTAAGCGCAATTTGAATATTTCTGAATCGATAATTATTGATTCTTTTGCAAACGAATGTTCAAGTAATTAGTTAGTTCTTACTTAAAATTCTTAAATTACAATTACTTTTCGAAGTTTGAGCTACTGATGTTTGTAAAGCTTAATTTTCCAAATCGAT